TTATTCCTCTTCCTAGCCAATAATTTGCTGCGCTTGGTTCCCTTTAATTTGCTTTAATTCCTATAGCATGGAAGAAGAGTGTTATATAGGGAATGTCATGGACTTTGAAGTCTGACATACCTGAGTTTTTATAGGTTTTCTGTGATTTGGAGAAAATCATCTAACTTCTCTGCATGTCAGTTTTTCATCTGTCCAATGGCAAGAATAATAACTCATGGCAAAAAAAGAAATCACAATGAAATTAGAAAATATGAAGGGAATAAAATGAAAATACAACATATCAAAATGTATAGGGTGCAGGTAAGGCAGGACTTAGGAATGTATCGTCTTTATTACATATATGAGAAAAGAAGAAAAACTGAAAATCAATTTAACATTAATTAGGTGAAGTTAACTAGTAAGTGCTTTCGGCAGGCGAAAGAGGAGGGGAAAAGGTCCTGCATGTGGAAGAAGCATGCTCTGACGTGACATCAGTGTGGCTGAAACTGGAAACTAAGGATGAGGGGGTGGCTAGATCCAGCTGAGGAGATGAACGGGGGCCAGACTTTGTGGGACCTTGTAGGCCATGCCAAGGAGTTTGATCTTTATCCTAAAAACAATATGGAGCCATTTAAGAATTTCAGGTATGGGTGGATAACATGACCAGATCAGAAAAGATCACCCTCCAAGTAGTGTGAAGCATGGATTGTTTGAGGGGCCTATTGGATATACTGATGCCAGTCAGGTGACCATTGCTGTTGCACAGGACAAAACAATGTAACTATTGTTTGTAATATAAATTAAACTGGAAATGACTCAATAATGCCAATCAATAATGGACTGGTTAAATACATTATAGTATACAAAGACAATGGGTTACCATGCAGCTATAAAGGGAATGAGAAATTTTAATCTGTGCTGTTATGGAGTTATCTCCAGGTATATTGTTAAGTGAAAAAAGCAAAATGGAATGCACAAATGGTGTGTATATATGCTGTTTATTTAAAAGAGGTAGGAAGGATATACATATATATATATACACACACACACATATATATATCCTATCCATATACACATACATATCCTATCTATATATATATATGTGTGTGTGTATATATATATATCCTATCTCTCTCTCTCTCTATATATATATATATATACATATACCTACTGCCTTTTTAAAATAGAAGGCTAATTTGCAACGACGTGGATGGAACTAGAGGGAATTATGCTAAGCGAAATAAGTCAATCAGAGAAAGACATGTATCATATGACCTCACTGATATGAGGAATTCTTAATCTCAGGAAACAAACTGAGGGTTGCTGGAGTGGTGGGGGGTGGGAGGGATGGGGTGGCTGGGTGATAGACATTGGGGAGGGTATGTGCTACGGTGACCGCTGCGAATTGTGTAAGACTGTTGAATCACAGATCTGTACCTCTGAAACAAGTAATACATTATATGTTAGAAAAAAAAAAGAAGATAGTAGGAAGGGAAAAATGAAGGGGGGGAATCGGAGGGGGAGACGAACCATGAGAGACTATGGACTCTGAGAAACAAACTGAGGGTTCTAGAGGGGAGAGGGGTGGGGGGGATGGGTTAGCCCGGTGATGGGTATTGAGGAGGGCACGTTTTGCATGGAGCACTGGGTGTTATAAGCAAACAATGAATCATGGAACACTACATCAAAAACTAATGATTTAATGTATGGTGATTAACATAACATAATAAAATAAAATTTAAAAAAAGTTAAAAAAATAAAATAGAAGGCTAAACCTGGACAAAAGAGTTAGAGAGGGAAGGGGGAGGAGAAAGAGAGGCTAAAGTTGTCTGCATACAAATTGTTTTCTACATTTGATTTTGGGACCAAATATTTTACATAGATATAAATCAAAATTAAGTGAAAAAAAATCAATCCTAAAAACCAAAACCAAAATGAAACAGATGAACCGAATTATGTATTGAGTTAGTGGCATAATCATAAAAATGAATTAATTGAAGTGACTTTAAAACTGCAGCCCTTTGGGATCTATCTAATAACAAAGAGAATTGAAAAAAAAATCCTAAAGTGATTTTTACATTTTTATTGTTATTCTGAGTATTATGTATGAATGACTTCAGAAACCGATTTCTAACCTGCACACTCCTACGTCTCATGATGATAGAAGGTTGGATTATGGTGCTGATAGTAATCCAACTAAGTAATCCAAGATTGAAGAGATACTTAGATAAAACTGACCAGACTTCATGCTCAGTTGTCCATGGGGCTAAGGGCCTGGGAGGAGTCTAAGACGCTTTTGAGGTTTCTGGCTGGCATCATAAGATAGATGGTGATACTGTTCGCTTAACTAGAAGTGAGAGGATCAAGTTTGGGGCGCAAAGGTGATTTTGGTTTGGAGCATGTTGAGTCCCAGGTCTCTTTGGGACATCCAGGTGACATCAGGTGGCAGCAGGCAACACGGGCTCTCTTCTGTTAGTTTTCCCCTTCTACCTCCTTAGCACAATTTTTGGTTTTTTTGAGATGGGTATGGGTGGGGACTACTTTTCTAGTTTGTAGTGTCACTTAATATTCTATTCTTGTTTCAGAGATCTTGGTAGTCATGCCCAACTTGATGTCATCTGCACATTTTGTAAGAATGTTTTTACTCCATTGTCCAGCAAACTGGGACAAAACAGGTGTATTCATTAACCACACCTTGAGTGCTTATTATTCCAATCACTGTATTAGGTACTCACACTGTCTACCGTTTACACCTTTCTTACAGAGTTACTCACACTTTTATAAAGATATTATTCTCTCCAGTATACTAACAAAGAGACTGAAGATCAAGAAGAATTAAGTGGCTTGCCCAGAGTTACAAAGCTGTACAGTAGCAGTCAGCATCTCTAGTCTGTTTTCTGTCATTATGTCTCCGTTTTTCAAAGTCTGGGTGATGACTTAGGTGCTTTGTGGTCATGGCATTTAATTGCACTGACTCACACAGCAAGAAAGCTCCTGTGTTATTTTCATCCAACCTTCTGATATGGAGAACAACTCAGTCTGGAGGTAGTGTGTCTTAACCCCTCTCTAACACTTGCTAATCTCAGTTTTTATCTAGAGAGCTTACCCCTGAGGGTCAGAGTCTTGAGCAAATAACAGTGTAGAGCAGGAGTTTAATTACATTATCTTTTTTTCATTATGTTTATCTTAGGGATATGTTCTATTTATAAGTGATATTTGTGTTTCCATTTGTACAGCAGTAAAAAATTTCATTGAAAATAAACCTAAATAAAAGAAACAGAGCTAAAGAAAATTACATAAATAAAAGTAATGGTGGTTCAATACATGACAGTGGGTTCCAATGGCTGACCTCTGGAAAACAATGCTCCTTACCAAACCTCCTCCCCCAATTATGGGTTGCTGCTGGCCTTACCTCTCTAACAGAAATTGAAGGTCTTCTCTTGACCAAGAAGGGATCTGTTACCATTTCACTTGGGAATTCTTTGTCACTGTTCACTGGTGAATGTGGCTCACCATTGAGCTTGTCCCAGACCTCAACTGCTGTGGGCCAGATGGTATCTTATTCCCCACTGATCAGACTGGCAATGTAGGAAGGAATCATGGTTTTTGGCTGCCCACTGTGTCTCCCATGCCAGAGTTTCAGGAAAGAGCTAAGAGGAAAGTGTGTATCACCAATAAATCATGGTAGTTAATAGGTAAGACAATGGGCTAATTTGGAAATCTTAGCCTATCCAGGTGATTTTTTTTTTTTACTAACATGCATTCTAGTATTAAAACTATATTGACTAGTCTAATTTCCATCCAGTCCTCTTTTTTAAGTTTCTAATCCTGCAGTCTTTTATAATAGTACCATGTTTGTACATTTTGTTCCTTCTTCACCATCACAACCCCTTCCTGGGACAGAAGCTATATTCAGAAGATCTGTGAGAAATGGTTGTAGATGGGCTGCCTTTAAACATTTTTATGTGTTCTAAACACAAAGGCAATAAAAATTCCCAATGCCACATATATTTTTAAAGATATCATTGTCACATGAAATAATTTTGCTTGTGTGTCCCCCAGGGAACTGAAAAGTACATTATAGTCACTGTAATCCTGCTGGGAGAGAGACAGTATCTTCTATTTATTCTTTGTTATGCCTGATACTATCTGTTCAGCATATTATTAAGAAAAGAAATCTGTATCTAGAAAAATGCATCTGTATTCCTCTCATTTCCCATGAGCACCACAAAGCCAGTATTTTTTTTTTTAACCATTGGGACTTGCAGAGTAGGGTCCAATGCCTGAACAATATTAGGGTTAGGTTTTGCATTTTTGATGTATTAAGTGAAGGTGGAAAATACTGGTAAATATGTCTTCTTAAGTCCACAAGGTCAAAGAAAAGACAGGTTCCATCTTCCTGGGCGGGGTACCGCCAGCACTACACCCGCTGTGCTATCTATCACAGCACCTGAGAATCTAGTTTCATCACAGGCGGGACACGAGGCAGAGGCCTGACTTGTGCACCTCGTACAAGGTAAATATCCCCACTGTAATAATGGAAACCCATCCCATGCTCCTGCACAAGCCGGGTGAGTGTATGCAGCCGGCAGTGGGTGTGTGGGGGGTGTAGGTGGGTAGTGTTTTCCCCCTTCGCGGCTGCAGCGGGGGCCCTTAGGGTCCCCCAGGCCCTTGACTCTCGGCCCTGCCCTGACCATTGTCCGCACACCTCTTCCCTCCAGCTTCCGGGCCGCGGGCGAGATGATTTGCTGCAGATGACATCAGCCCTGGGCCAACGGCTGGAAGAGCGGAGGCAGCCACCGCGTGAGGATGTGCCGGGTGGTCCTTTCCTCCTCCTCTTCCTCCTCCTCCCGGCTCCCAGCCTAGTCTCCGTATAAAAGCGGCGCCGCCTCCCCGCCCTCTCTCACTCCCCGCTCCTCTCCGCCGCTCGCTCTAGGAGAGGGCGGAGGGGGAGGCGGCGCGCAGCGCCAGGAGGAGGGGGGACGCAGGGGGCGGAGCCGAGACAGCACCTTCGGAGATAATCCTTTCTACTGCCGCAGAAGAGACGAGCGGCGGGACCCAGACACTTCGCCGAGGCACAGCGGGCCGGCAGGATGGCGACCGTGGTGGTGGAAGCCGCCGAGCCGGAGCCGTCCGGCAGCATCGCCAACCCGGCGGCGTCCACCTCGCCTAGCCTGTCGCATCGCTTCCTCGACAGCAAGTTCTACCTGCTGGTGGTCGTCGGCGAAATCGTGACCGAGGAGCACCTACGGCGCGCCATCGGCAACATCGAACTCGGTAAGAGGCCCTGAGTCCCCAGGGGACGCGCTCGAGGAGACGGGCAAACGCGACCCCACCCAGGGCGCGACGGCCACCCTACTTCTCAGGCGCGCCCCGCACCCGCACCTCTCCCCGCCACCCCCCGCACTCAGTCCGGATTCTTTTTTGGGCTAATTTCGGAGAATAATGCGAGTTGTTAGATTTGAGACCCAGTGGGAGAGTCTCTCCTAACCTTGAGGGCTCTGTCATCAGGCTGGGTCTGCAGATCCGAACTGGCCACCGCCTCCCCTGCTAAATGAAATGCAGGTGTCGGAGGAGCAGAGGCCCAAACCGCAGGGAGCAAAAGGGGCGGGGGGGGGGCTTGATGCCAACACTGCTTTTAGTCCTCTCCTGTCCCCCGCAAAATACTGGGACTCCCCTCTCCCCCTCGCCGGCAGACCATGTGCCAGTGCCCGCGTGGGAATCATCTTCACCGCAGTCACCTCAGCCCCCGAGAAATGCCTTTTCTGGCTTAAAACCTCCCGATTTGGTCTTTCCTCGCAATGACTAGGCTAGTCCTGGGGCCACGCCCGCTTCCCCCCCCCCCCACCTCCACCCGGGACGCAGGGATGGAGAACCGCCTGCGCTTGGTTCCCAGACGGCGCCCGCCTCGCTACCGCCCCTGGGACCCTGGTTGCAGCTTTCAGAAAGGACAATGGGACCCCAAGTTGTGGGGTGGAGCTTCTTCTTTCAAAAGTCTCAGCCTCGGTAGTGATGGCTTAGGGGGAAGAGGGCTGGGGGGGGGTGTCGGCGGGTAGGGCCAGCGCCTCGCCCGGTGCGCGCACTAGGAGCGCGCTCTGCAGAGGCCGAATAGCGGTTCGCCCAGAACCCTGGGCGGGGCCGTGAGGGCCCGGCAGGCTCAGCCTCAGGCGCGCGACCGACCCGCCCCCCAGCCCCACCCGGGTTGCCGCAGTGCCCCCATCCGCTCGCCACACCTGCCCCCCGCACTGCGGCGCCCCCATCGGGCGCGGTCGGCCGGGCGTGCGCTCCGCCCGGGCCTCGGGCTTGGTGCTGCATACCCCCACTTCTCCCTCGGCCCGGCTTTGTTGCGCTCGAAGCCCCCCGAGTGGGCAGCTCTGGTCTCTGCCTTTGCCTTCACCCCTGGCGTTCCAGACCTCCCCTCGCCCCTGACAGAGGTCGCCAGGTCCCTCCGCAGCCCCAGCCCGCACTCTATTCTCTTGGGGTGGTGCTGAAACGTTTCTGCCTGGAGACACCGGCTGGTGGGCGTGGTGCAGTCCGCACTGCGGTCTCTACGGCAGCCCCGGGCGGACAAAGGGCGTTCACGCAGCCCTCGTTCCCCGCTCCCGGCACCCCCCACCCCCATAAAAGATGAAAGGAAAACCTTATTTTCGATGAAAAAAATTAAAGCTTGTTTTCCGACTCTGCATTTGGAAACGGCCGCTTGTCCCCAGAACAAAAGGCTGCAGGGTGGGGACTGGAGTTGCAGACCTGGTTCTTTTGTTTAACTTTAAAGCACTGATTTTCCCTTTCAGCTTAAAAAAAAAAAAAAAAAAAAGAAAAAGAAAAAAAGCAGCATGGAGTCGTGTAATTTTGTTCGAAAAAAATTCAAGAATAAGATTTCAATAGCGAAATGCCTTATTTGAGCATCTCAAAAACCCTTCATTTTCAAACTATAGGCCTTTAATGTGGTCCCTTCTTAGTTTGCACATTTTCTCCTTGGAAAATTTCACCCGTACTGACTTTGGGTGTGGCTGCTATATGAATCAATGATTTTGGATTAAAAACAATTATTGTCAGCACCGTTGCCGGGCAATAATAATACATTAGGAGGTGCTTTGCTATCTATAAGATTTTCAGAACCACCCGATGTGGTGCCCATTTTAGAGATGGGGGCCCAGAGAGGCAGGAAGGATAGGGGACCCGCTCAAGGTCACGTCACTCCTCAGTGACAGAAGTGCCAGCACTGCACCGGTACCGGTTTTCTCTGTCATGATGTTAGTGCAGAGCAGACAAACATCAGAGGAAGATCAAACAGGGCAGTTTTCAGAGCTTGCCTTTGTATAGCCACCCACTTGTGGGCAGCGCCCTGTGCAGGGAGGTGGCTCAGCAATCACCTTCCTACCGTAATTATCTTCTTGCTTTGTTACTGTGTTGATCATCCTTTCAGTACCCCATTCCTCAGGGGGTTTATTCAGTCTGCTTCTGTTTGCGGGAAAAAATAGATGCATCCAGGTAGTGCTATGAAGTGCCCTGTCTTTACACCTTTTCACACTATTAGCGTGCAGGAATAAAATTCAGATTTATCTTTCTGACGTTAATTTTTTTAATTTATTGAAGTAATATATAGAGAGGAAAAGGCACAAATCACAGATGAGGAGCTCAGTGAATTTTCACAAAATGAACACACCTGTGTTACCTAGATCAAGAAACAGGCATTGCTGGGATCCCGGAAGCCCCCTTATGTTCCCTTTTCAATCACTGTGCCTTCCTGATTTTTAATTCTCTAATTTGGTCAGGTTTTTGCACAAAACTCCAAAATTGCTGTATTGAGCCCATTAACAATCAATCAAGTGAGGGAGCAGAGCCATTTCCTCACGCCCAGTAACAGATGCTGCTTTTCCTCTGGAGATTGCTCTCCTGGGTCCCGGGGTCTCAGATGCAGCTCAAGCTACGGGCGGGGCCTTCCAGTACTAAGCGAAATTGCTCCCCTAGCTCTTCAGAGTCTGAGATGACTTAGCAACAGGGTAGGCTGGCTCTGTTTCCCTGTGCCTGACACACTCGCCGCGGCCTCAGCCTGCAGGTCCCAGCTGGGCGTCCTCCAGAGGTCACTCTGAGACCACTGCTATTGTTGCTGGGGCCTGCAGGCCTCCTTGTGGGCCAGAGTTGTGTGGAGCAAGATGGAGATGCTCCGGGGGATTCGGCTCCCAATGAGGGCTGCAGGCTGGGAATGCAGTGCATCTTTTGTTAGGCTTCCTTCCTGTTTCCCCTCCCATTTTGACTGATGTTCTGTGGGTTTGGAGACCCTGGTGACTTGGAATTTTGCCATCTGATTACTGAGGGTTCTTTGGGAAGCCTAGAAAATAAACCTGTAGGAAGATGGTGGTAATGCAATAAATCGACAGGCCTGAAACATCCCCATGTGGATGCTTCGTAAAGCTTTTTGAAACCACAGAAGAGAGATGGTTCTTCATTTTCTCAACTGTATTATTCAAAATGTGCAATGTAAGGTTTGCTCATATCTTCTCAAGTTTGAAACAATCGTCTTCCCTTGGGCTGGTCTAGCTTTATTTTGTGAGGTATGCAGCACTTTATGCCAAACCACTGTCGTTACCACCAAATGCCACTCCTTGGCACCTCTTTCGCCCTCTTCCTAATTAGCCCCCAACTTAGACTTAATAGCCATCCCCATTTTTAGCACAGCCTCCACTCCTCCAGTTTATTTTAGGACATTGACTACATATATCCATGGCTTGCAGACTGAATTCTAGAGCCTTATGAAAGTTTTCATTGCTTTATTTTATTGCTTTATAGGAATTAAGACATATAAAGAATAGTGTCAGTTTGACATTTTCAGTTGCTGGTAAAGAGTGTAACTTTTCTCTGGTTAAGGTTGGGAATCAACAAGATTTGTTTATAAAAAGATAGGTGTGTGTAACATCTACTGCCCTGGATTTTGAAATATAAGTTTAGCTGATTACATTGTAACCTTCTGATGTTACTTTATTGATTGTCTTCAGTTCAAGATGGTCAAGAGAATTAAGAACCCAGGAAAGATCTGGGCTTTAATTTTCATTTTGTTTTAACAGGAAAAAAACCAACACATGGTGAAGGTTAGAAGAAGTGTTGGAGAGCGTTATATATGTTATGTTCATCTTTATACTTTTCAAAGTCAAAAGGCAGATGGATTTCTGCTTGTACTGCTTAATTGGTATTATCTGGTAAGGGTTCTATGATCCATGCTGAAATCCAAGCCAGTCCCCAAATGTAAGGTCATTAAATTGATGATTCATTCTTAATCTTCTCTAAAGGCTTCCTTTTTAAATAAGTTCTAACTTTTAGACCAATAATAATTATAAATCACTTCTTTTGTTTGTTTCCAATGTGGGAAGCTATCAAAACATCTAAATTATTTATCATCAATGCTTTCAAATGATGAACTCTATGTAAGGTGTTGCCTGCATTGCATATATGTTATGAACATCGAGTTGTTGGCTTAAGAAAAAGAAAAAAAAGCCAGTTGAAAGTTTGGTCAAGGGAAAAAATAGGAAAACTTTGAGAAGTAAACCTTGAATTTAGCTCTTTTTTTGTTTTAATTCTGTTTCTTTAGTTTATGATTCTAATCTGCCTCCTGATCACTTTTTTAGCATAGTTTTACAGATCAAATCTTACAGTTCATAGGTTAACCATTTAGGTACTAGCAAAAAATATCCCAAAGCCTATGGATCAGAGGGATTTTTTAAAAAGTTCATAGGGAAAAAAAAGTCAAGTTTCAAAGGCCCAAATAACTGTCAGGTAGAACCCATGTGCCATTTCAACATGTAATGAATGATCATTTTCCTGGTTTTTCCAACTTATTGTCTCTTTTAGGAATATAGATTTTAGTCTTTAAATGGGAGGTGCTTTTTAAAAATTGTTGGTTTTATTAAATAACCATGCAAAATGCTTGCATGATTGGTAGGCTTGGCAAGATATAACCTGTATAAAGTAAGGGAAAGTGGCTCTTCATTGTTCACCCTGACTTGTCCTGTAATGAACACCCCCCCCCGCCACACACACACACACACACACACACACACACACACACAGGCTTTTCATTTCTTCCTTTTCCATCTGTAAACTTTAGGTGCACTTTAGCCTCCCTTTTGTGCCTTGCTTTCCCCTGGATTCAGAGAACTGAGATAAAAAGATCTTTGTTACCCTCAGTCCCCTTGGCTGGAGGACTGGCCTTCAGACAGTGGTGGTTCTACCGCTGGGCACCAGCCCCAGATTAGGTGGGAGAATTCTCAGGATGCCTAGCCATAAGTCAGTTCCCAGGGGTGACAGGTGTCCTCTGGGCCTAGAAATTTAATAAATGGAGGTTGACCTTCAGTTGGTGGAGTTGTTCTGTTCTGCCCCGACGTAGGTAAGCCAGTAAGCGGCACAGTCTTCATAGAGTGCTGGAGAAGCAAAGGCTCAGGAAAGAGAGTGTGGCAAGAGCCAAAGATATTTTTCTGTCCTGTAAGCTGTAGAGGGCCTACTGTTGGCTTCCTGTTAGGCACAGAGGGAAGATATATAAACCTACTAAATGCAATAGGAGCCTTCATTGAGAAATAGTATTTCTCTTTACTGTATCATCCAGTAGAAGGTACAAAGTATATTATTTCTAAAATTGGTATAGAAAGTGGCCTCATTCCAAAATTTTCCTTTCCAACTAAAATAACCAGTAAGTCCTTTGTAACCTTTATTTTATAAGTGGTAGTAGTGAATTATGCATTGTTAAGACATAATTTGGCTGGAAATTGCTCCTTTGAAAAGAGAACCCTAAATTTTTAGTTTCATTGGCAGTAAAAAATCTGAGATATATTATTTTTATCGGCCTTTTACTAGTGTAATTTAAAAATCAATTTCTAGGTGGTTTTTCTGTTTTGTGCTTTTTCCCTTGTTAAATTACAAATCATACAGCCAGGAGTTTATGAAATATAAAGCAAACATTTAATTGCATATGTCATGACAAGTTAATTGAAGTCGAGGGGAAAATGGCAAACAATAATATAAGAGCAAGTCTACATATAACCCTAGATGAAGTCTTTCAAATGATGGAGCAATTTGGACATAACGTAGAACAAAGGCAGAAAAATCGTATGAATTTAATTTAAATACATATGTCTCATTATTAACTTAGTGAGCCAATTTGACAAGCCAGGAGATAAAGTGGCGCTCAGACCTGGCGCACAGAGAATCCAGTTAACAATTACCAATTAAGCAGCTCAGACAGGAGCTTGAACGTTTTTCATACTAGCCCAGTATATAGTGTATACGTTGAAGTAAAATATTCTAATGAATTCAGAACTCTCAACCTGTCAAGCTTCCTGTGAAACAAAAAGAACCCATTTATCATTTCTGCACTAAAAAGATCTGCAAAATCTCAACATGCCTTTCTTGTTAAAATTTAAATACTCCATTAGCACAAATGCAAGCTGAGGCTGTTGCTGTTTCCAGGGAGACCCATAAAATTCTCCTTTATAATTTAGTGTCTCTTTAGGAATGTTAACTCTTCCACACCTGAATTCTTCCCATGGATTGCATGATCAGTTTCTGTCTCTAATTGGTGGACATGCATCTATTTGAAAATATTCCTCACAGTTGAAAGGTGTTTGGTGTATAATCTGAAGATAGTCTAGATGTGCAGTCAACTGAGTTTCCAGAATCTTTGTGTAATACATTTTATACATATACAAGACACACATATACATATATATACACACACACATGTAAAAGCATACACACACGCGTATCTTGTTTCTTTGCAAGATAAGAAGACTGAACAAGATATAAATGGGGGTAAATACAGACAGGCATTAAGGATTTATGGGTGTGTTTAAATAATGCACTGCCATTTATACTCCCAAGTCTGTTTGAATGACTAATGACCAGCAAAAGTGATTAAATGACCCTGTGTTTATTTAGAGACAGTTTGTCTGCTATATTTTACCTGGAGGTTCAAGCCCCTGCTCTTAGTAGGTATGCAATAAATGGCTGTTGTTGCAATTGAGGATGCTCCATGCAACGGTACAATCATGGATACTGCCTAAGGGCTCCACCATGAGCTACCTATTTGGGAAAGTATAAAGATACATAAAAAATACATTAAAAAATACTACATAATACATAAAAAATAATACATTAAAAAAACACATTCCAGAGTTTTGTGGTTTCCCAGTTTTCCCTGGCTTGCTCCCCAGTTCTCCCTTCTTCCATGTCCTCCGGGGTCCCTCTGGCATCCCATGTCCTCCGGGGTCCCTCTGGCCATCTCCTGTAGAAGGACAGGGGGAGAAGGAGATGAGGGAGGTAGGGTATCCAAGTTCCTCCCACCCCAGCCTAGTGAATGGAAGGAAGCCTGAATGTGTGTGGGAAGAGACAGTTCGTGGCCCCTGGCTCTGTAGAATTTTTTTTAAAGTGTAAAATGTTGCCACATTTTTTGCCTCTGGATAAGAAAATTGAGTACAACTAACAATTGTGAATGAGAGAACTACCTGCCAAGCTAGTCAGGTAAAATAAATGAAGGGGCGGACAGAGAGGGCAAGTCTTTAAGATTGAGATCCAGTCTTCTTATCAAAGATCGCGCACATTTTGGATTGGTATCTGGGAGTTGAGAAACCCAGGTCAAAAATGGGATGGGTAAAGAAAAGAAACCATGTGTGCGCACAAAATGCATGTGCACACTGCAAACACTACCATTTTGAAAACAAAAGCCTGGATTTGAATGCCAGCCCCCCCACCCTCACTCTCCATTTCCTTGCCACCTACGAGTGGACCCTGCGAAGCCTAGAGATGATCTGGTGGCCTCCTCACTGCTATAGAACTTAACCATCTTCCTGTCCTTTCTACTCCTTTAGGAGTAGAGTAAAGCCTGTCATTTTCCTAATAACTGTTTTCTTTACTCTCCCAGAAAAGCTGCATTGACATTTTATGAGGGGCAGAAGTTCAGTCCACACTGCTTGTTATCCCTCTTTTGTGGCCTGGTAGGGAGACCTCCCCAGCCCTCGCATTTTGTGGGCATCCCCTGCTAGCCACCAAGCTCTTCAGAAAAGAAGTTTCCACATCCTCCCTTAAAGCCTGAGAAATGTCACAATGATGTTTTGCAAACCACTCTGAAATGACTAACTGGAACTCTGTCAATTCTCCTCCTTTCCCTCCTTAGGAATCCGATCATGGGACACCAACCTGATTGAATGCAACCTGGACCAAGAACTGAAACTTTTTGTGTCTCGACACTCTGCTAGATTCTCTCCTGAAGTGCCAGGTGAGGCTGTGGTTCAGTGTTAGTCAGCCTAGACTTTGAAAGGACCGGGGAACAGGCCAATGACCGGAAAGCTTTGCCCAGGGCATCAAAAAGACTTTCCTCTTACTGCTAAAGGTTTCTTTATATTTGTTATTATTAACTAGGTTAGCCAGAAGCAACCTTTTAAGAAAGCCAATTCTAAGTTATCACTGTGTGAGTTATCTATTTTGTGGATTCTTAGTGAAAAGTTTTAAAGTTCTGGGATCTATCTATCTATCTATCTATCTCATCATTTCATCATTGCATTGTCACCCACTTTTCTTGGTGTGGGTAAAAGAGTCTGAAATTCCAAACTGCTATTAAAATAGCCTTTTTTTCAGAGACGAAAAAGAATACTGCAGAGTAAAGGTAAGGATACAAAAATTAGGTTACATGTGGAGATGCTACCAGTAGCCAGCCGCCTCAGTTCGGTGGTACTCTGACCTCTGTCTCTAGGCCTGGGGATGAACGGAGACTGGCCCACCTTACCTTCCTCTTGTGAGCAGTGATCCATAGTTCTCCCTCTTGGTCACCTTTGAGGATTATGAGCAGAGGTGCTGGCCCATAAAGACTCCCAACCTGTGTTTCTCAAAAGCTCTGCCATTGATCTATCACAGACAGCCGTCTTGCATTTTATTTCTTGGATCTCACTTAAATTTTTATGTGAAATAGAGAAAGCTCTTTTCTGTCTACATGATTCTGTTGTATGATTGCTAATTTTATTGGCATTGGTATAAAATCAGGATGGTGTTCTGCCTGTTTTTGATTGATTACATCATATTCCCTTAACCTTCTACATATTGAGATTTGAAACCACTTATCGAATGTCATGGCTTCATGAATCACACTCGGCTGCAGCAATCTGCCCGTGGGACTACCCTAGTTCTTCTTTTTGAGTTTGATGTTAGAATGAAATCCCATACATTTCAGTTGTCCGAATGAATTGTTGCTTTCAAGCACAGAATTGAGTAAATGTGCTAAGAAAAACGTAGAAGAAACTGGTTCGTTAAAAGTTAACTTGCTGCAAAGCCACGTGAAAAATCAGCTTTTAAGCAACTTTGCTTTGAGGAAAAAAAAATGATCCAGAGACTATCAGACAGCACATGACTTGATGAAGTAAAGGTACAGTATATGGTTGCTTCTTGCGTTATTGTGTTGTGTTTTTTTGTCTTGCACATCTCTATAACTTTTAAAAACATCTCACAAAAATAGGGGCACCTGGGTGGTTCAGACATTAAGCATCTGCCTTCGGCTCAGGTCAGGACCCCGGGGTCCTGGGATCAAGCCCCGCACCGGGCTCCCTGCTCCGCGGGAAGCCTGCTTCTCCCTCTCACTCCCCCTGCTTGTGTTCCCTCTCTCGCTGTGTCTCTCTCTGTCAAATAAATAAATAAATAAGATCTTAAAAAAAAAACTCACAAAAATTAAAAAAAGAGAAGTACCCTTTTCCAACAAGTATGTTTCGAAATGGAAAAGGCAAGTTTTTATCGTTTCTCTGTGGATTGTTCTGGCTTTCTTACTAAGAATGTTTGTAAAACTACCTTTTTTTTTTTTTTAAACAAGTCATGTGATTCCTATTGTGTTCATTCATCCTTGGATTGACTTGGCAAAATGACAGCTGTGTATTGCAAAATGAAAGGCTTGCAAGAACTGCTGAAGAATTTACCATTTCTGGACCAAAGACCTAAAATTACTCTTGTGGACTCAGAAGGTCAGGTCCTCCCAACCACCACTTTAGCCCAGGGTACCTTGTTTTCCCTCCTTTTGCTGCTCTTTCCTGTTACCTACCTAGCTGTGTATCAGTGCTGTGCTAGCCACTATGTCTAGAGATGGGCCTCTGGACATGCAGCAGTCCTACCATTCTTGCTGACTTGGGCAGGGTGTGTGTTAGGACCTTCCCTTTTAAGCCTAAGAGCTCACTATGCAGGGCCGGGCCTCCCCGCTGAGGACTGAACATCTAGAACCAAGCCATGGGAGTATAGCCCTTGTGTGGGGAGCACTCAGAGTGGCATGAAGGTTTTTAACCAAGACTACAGTAGATGAGGGAAGCACAGGTCAGATTCAGTTTCAGGTAAGTAAGTGTGTTTTGGAGAAAAGAGATGTCATGTTAGAAGACATGGATGCAGAACGGGGTGAGTGGACATTGCAGGCTGTTCACTGGATTAGACCCAAAGAAACCTTTAGCTTTTCCTGAACAAACAGGCCTAGATTTTAGGGGAAATTGGAAGTCTGTTTTTAAGTGGGTCCAAGTCTAATGGTCTCCCTCACCCCCTGAAATTCTGTAGGAACTAGTGTCTGTACCTTAGGCCCCTAAAGTGGAGCCAGCTGAATCTCTACATTGAGAGTTTCAAGATTCTAAGTTAACCTAGAGGCAAGGAGCAAGGTGAAGGATGGATTCCTTAAACACATAAAGCCATTCAGCCAGTCAGTTAGGAAATAATTAAATAGCACCTATACTGTGCCAGGCACTAAGGGGTGAGGGTCTGTGAGCACACAGTGATGAACAAAACCCACATGGTCACTGTTTTTCTTGGGAGAGAGGGGGCATCCAGCAGTCACATGTGGACTAGCATAAAGTCCTGCATCCAGTCCGAACAGTTTGTGTTTCGTTGGGTTTTTTAGGCCAGCAGAGTTACAGTCAAATATTCATTGTCTTCCCTGACACAAAGAGATTAGGAGCTAGGGTTGCTCTTTTTTTTTTTTTTTTTTTTTTTTAAAGCTTTTATTTTTTTTTTTGACACACAGAGAGAGAGAGAGAGCACAAGCAGGGGGAGCAGCAGGCAGAGGGAGAAGCAGGCTCCCTGCTGAGCAGGGAGCCCGATGCGGGACTCGATCCCAGGACCCTGGGATCATGATCTGAGCTGAAGGCAGACGCTTAACCGGCTGAGCCACCCAGGCACCCCTAGGGTTGCTCTCTCATCTGTTTTTCGTTCATGTTATTATTCCTTTGTTGTTGTTTTTAAGCACTGGAGATCACTTATCAAACACTGGTGGTAGCCTCCCAGGCAGCTGACAGATCATGCGGGTGGCACCAGCTCCTGTATGTCTGATACTAGTTTACCTCTTGTATTAATTTTTAAAGATGATTGTGAGATTCAGTTGGCTATTTCTTCAGGATTGCAGGTCTCATTCAAGCCCACTCTGGAAGATTTAGTCATCTTGAACAAAAATATCCTTTGAGCAGGAAGCTGGAACAGGAGTGCTTTCTCTGTACAAGATGGGGGTCGGATTGTATGAATGGTGAGGTGGTGGTTCCCCGAGTTCCCTGGAACTGAGTCCTGGGATCACTAAGCCTCCCCAGCTCTGGCATACTATAAGTTTTGGAACGATCAGTCGTCCAGGCCATCTTTTACTCTCTGGAACCTATTGCAGCATTGACTTGCCTAAAGATCACTCAGCAAACACCTGCTTTGAGCCCAGAGCTGGTCTGCTGTTTTGCCCTGTTGTAAAACCATTCTTGGCCACATCTAAGTTGGAGTCCAGCAAGACTAGTTATCTTGAGAGAAGAGGTTAGGTACTCCATCATGAATCCTCTCCAGTCTTTTACTCAAGGGAAGTCCAATAATTGAGTCTTTTCAAAATAAAGCCATCATCTTGTTTCCTTATATTTATGAATTCCAGTACTATCAAAAGTCTTTATATATTATAGCATGTGTTTTGTACCTTAATCATGTTGGCTGAGAATCATTTTTGTAAGTCTCACCATAAGAGTAGAGCTAGGCTTACCATGCTGTATAGCACTTATTTCATTCTCTATTCTTATTTGCTTTTTTCCCCTAATGTAACTTTAAATCTTTTATTATAACAATAGAGAAGGATATCTCCTAGTGGTTCTAAGAAGCACCCCATGATTATCTGTGCTAGGCATCATTTCAAAACATCAAACAAGTACAAATCAATCTCAGAGCAAGGGGCAGCAGAGTGAAAATTAATTTCAGTTTTCTTTTTTCCATCATTTGCCACTTCTATCTGCCTATTAAAGTAATTTTAAAAATTTGATAACCCAAATCCTCCCCACCAACATAGCATAACGGTTAAGAGTGGGTATTCTGGAGCTAACCTACCTGAGTTTTGATCCTAGCTGACATTTATTGGCTATAGGATGTTGGGCAAGTTACTTAATCATTCTATGCCTCAGTTTTAGTGTCTGTAAAATAGGGACAGACACTTCTACCTCATAGAACTTTCGTGAGGGTCAAATGAGTGAATGCGTGTAAAGATCTTCAAATAGTGCTTTGTCACGTGGTAAAACAGTAAATGTAAGTTAGTGTTCCAAGTGTCTCTTTCGTTGGAAATGTATTTGAGTTGGGTATTTGCTGATTATTATTATTATCTGGGGGGCTTTAGACATTGGCTGGCTTCCTTTTTGTAATAGTACTAAAATTTGTATCAAAGATGTTTTTCAGAGAAACAATTGCCCCAGTATTATCAGAAGACACATAGCTGCCGGTTGTGGGTAGGGGGCAGCAACACTGTATGACTGAGTTTAGGAAGGTCCTTTGAGCATGAGAGCAAAAAGGAGGCAATGTGTTAAGGTGCTGGCATAGCAGAACCTTTGGGCAGCGCTGGAGACCGTTTGTAAAATGGTCCTGTTGGTGCCCGTGCCAAGATGCTGATGTCAGTGAGGATGCTAGCATGCTTTCTCACTGTGATAATCCATCCCTGGGTAACTTCTGCCCCTCCATTCAAGTACTTGGTTCTCTCTCCAATCAACAAGTGGCCATAGACCTTGTCAATTTTAAGAAGCCAAGATTTCTGGTGGATTATTTTCTTAGTCAATGGAATCAATAGTAAGACTTGGCATATTTACATTTTGTCAATAATTTTGTAATTTAGGAATTATCACACTCACGAAGATCTTTGTGCAATGTGATTGGTTTTGTAATGTGTCTATGGGTGATTCTGCTTAAGAACCCATGCCTTTTCTCTGGAAGATACACAAACCACGGCTGAGGATCCTTGGATTTGTGTGGCATGACTGCTAA